TGTGACTCCATTCACCCCATCTGTTGTACGACCCTGCTAACGAACAAAATTGATAGGTAGGCAATAGGGTACGGCAGGCTAAAAGATGGAAAGTGTGGTAACATGTTGGCCATAAAAGGAATATTATATGACCATTGTCGTCGTTCAAGTGAGCTGGTTCTTTTAACACCGAGGTAGACCATATTACACACCTACATACAGGCCAGTCCTGGCACTAACCCCATCTATTGCGTTTCTTGGCGTGATAGTAAGATATTACAGTAATTCGTTGCCAATTAGTGGGATCCCGCAGTCGGGTCTTGTCCAAAATGGACTAAAAAGTGATTTTAGCTTCACGGCCAAGCTTGTGTGCAATGTATCCCCGGGTCACAAGGGCTTCGTTTGGTTTAATAATTTTTCAAAAATTTCCATCAATAATGGCCTTGCCCTGTTTGGCATCTGGAAAAATAGAAAGAAGCGTAATAAGCAAATTCCTGATTGCGATAAAGCGTTTAACTTGCACCATCACTGCTTCTGGAACCATTGTTCTAGTTACTTAATTTCTAATGTTACAATTATCTTGCATGGCCTGAGTTAAGACTAGTATGCCTGCCTTTGTCACAACAAAAGTCCTTTATCTTCCCTGGCTCGTCGGGTGTATCCTGTCCCATTTACGTCTGAATTACTGTGTGCGCTCAAATAAGACAGTCTTATTGCGTTTTACATGCTTTTCTGGTTTCCCGCTGCCCTTCCCACTAGTCATTTTTTGTCCCCAGTATATCGCGACCGCGTTTACGGTCAAAGCATGGGCTGGCTTTGAAAACAGTAATTGATTAGCGGCTGAAATGCCTTTCTTTCCACCCAGATTTAATTTTATGTCAAATATTAATGGAAAATCCGCTGCAGCCGACGGCATGGCAGCAGTGATAAGCGCCTGCAGCGGAATACCAGAAAGACTCGTAATTTCTGTCGAGCAAAATGAAGCATTAGCAGAGGTCACAGTCGGTGTACGGCACTAATGTATTGTGGTGTATTTACTTTATGCCAGTGGTTTGAATATCAGCTTTACTGGTCGACCTTTCAGGGTTACCAAGGCTAAGCGATGGTGTCAGTTTCTGCCGCCCCGTAGTTACCTGATCCAAAATGCTCATTCAGCATTGCCTCTTAATCTTTTTTGTAGGACGAAAGTGAACACTGCCTGCTCTATACGAAGGCCTGCCTTGAGTGTTTAGCCAACCAACTCACCTATTTGGGACGTCTTGTAGCACCTCCCACTCAATGGGCCCACCCCATTCGGGGACCTCTGAGTTTGCATATGCCTCTAAGTCGCCACGCTGCCTGCTTCCTCTGTCTGTCTGTTATGACGCACAAGGCCTCCCTCCGCGACCTCATGACGCCCTTCATGCACCCCAACCTGGCGGTGCTTCGTCGGCTGATGGAGGAACTGGCCAACGTCCTGGTAAGCCCGTTATCTTCGAATCCTTGCTGAATTAACCGAATTGTTAGGGAATCGTGTCTAAGTCCGGGCACTGAGATCTCACGAACTTATGCGGCACACTTGTAACCACTTGGATTCTTCCTCCATTTTACTATAGCAGACCCCGTTTTTGTTGAGGGTAGAAGCAGTTTTGTCAACGTAGTGTGTTTTGCATATGGATGAAAAAATACAGTCGATTGCCTATCTCATGGAATGCGGAGAGCTGGCTGTTGTCTGAAAATTTAGATTACAGTTTTACATGGTATCAAATTCACACTTATTTGTGCGGTGAACTAGAACATTATCCTCTGTAAAATGATATTGTCCATTTTGCGCCTATGGATGCCGTTATAATAGAAAGGCATTCTCTAGGATGTCAAGGCACACTTTGCTGTTAATGGTGTCCTTACTTACTTTTACTTGTTACGGCTGTAAC